TTGGGCCATATGTCGCTGTCCACAAGCAAATAGACAGTCTATAACTGCCAGCATTTAAGTTTTTTACACGGGACTATAAGAAGCAATTATATACGAATTATCATAATTAAGTCTGGCTGGACAACCATTCGTTACGTTCACCACTGTTCTTTATATGTAAATGTTTTAAAGATTTTTTTCCATTTGATAGAGTTCTACAATACTTTTTAAACGTACCGTAATAAGCTGTACATGATAGGCGGACCGAGGAAGAAAATACACAGATTTAGTGTTCTAGTACCCAGCGGTTTATGGCCCACAATCACTGTAGCGATTGATGGCCATAAGAGAGACCCTATTGGACACCCAAGTTATTTCCCGCTAAGCCTCCAAATACAAGTAAGAAGAGTATTTTAGATAACAACCTAAAGGTATTTAAATGCCATAAGGCGGTAGTATCGCAAAATGAATTTTTACATATTTTGATACCTTAAATGCACAGGGACCCATGCAGCACAGTGTTGGGATAGTGTAAAAAATTGAAATGAGTGATGAAATAATGAAAATCCGATTTTCTCATTTTCACCAGGGTCTTTCAAATAGATTTTTTTTCAGCTATCATTTCATATTTTGTTTCTTATGCAACTTTTTAGAGAAAAAAATCAATCTAGATTATGTCTGCAAAATAAGAAAATAGAGAAATACAGAATCCCTAAAGAAAGCCCAACACGGCAAAATTGAAAATGTTGCAGGCTCGGTTTGATTGAGCCTGTTCATAGACGGTACTGTCAAGTGCAAACTACCGTCCACGCCCCCTAGCACCGGCTTAAGCAGAATTCAACATGAACTGGTAAAATATAGAATTTTGAAACATCCGCAGATGTGTTCATATGGCGGTTATCATGGAACCTTCAATGTGACACGTAAGTGCCATTCCATGAAAACGAGAAAACAATGGGCGGAACTAAATAAAATGGAATTTTGAATGGGGATCTGAGGTTATGAAGCCTGCATGTCCCATATATAACGTCAAAAGACAAATTTAAAAAGCAGGCAACTTATCCTAAGGGTGATTATACAGTATTCAAGTAGGAACACTGGAACCACCCAAGTTGAAAAAGGCCAAAAAGAAGAAACTAAAAGTACAACAAAACATGTATACACAACAATAATGTCGTGCTGAACGATCTTCAGGGATCGAAAATATATATAACATCATTGATTTTAAATGTACAGGGAGACTTTTTACAGCCGCCACACGGCACAAATAACACGGGTGTGACGATAAATTGGAGAAATACAGAATCCCTAAAGAAAGCCCAACACGGCAAAATTGAAAATGTTGCAGGCTCGGTTTGATTGAGCCTGTTCATGGACGGTACTGGAAGAAGTTCCTAATTTTCCCTTATCATGCATAACAAATTAATTTTGTTCTTTTACATATAAGATTTTGTAAATACTACAATACTTTCTTATGTATTAATCAAATCAGTATCTTTCCCATTCAAACCTTATGAACAAGAGATTTAATTGTGTGCAAAATCTAAAACCCTTCTTTGTTTTTGTCTACAAAATCCCTCTATGTTTAACTTGTCTGCAAAGTATACCGACCCCTTAAAACCAGTAGTATTGCACACGATTTGGAACCAACATGATATTTTGAATGTGGGTGCAAATGCTTATCAAATTTTACCCTTTTACTGTGTGATAATTGATAAATATTGAATAGAACTTTAGTATCATTAGCAATAATGGACCATTTACATATGTTTTTAACTTTTTATTGATTGTTTTAAAGTCACTCCCGGTATTAAGATATGTTTGCCACTCATATGATATTATTTACAGAACATTCGTTTTGATATGTTGTTAAAATTTCGTTTGGATAATCGTTATTCTTATCTAAAAAATGGTAGCTTCTATAATAAATAACTATCTTATCCCAGAATTTTTTTCTGTATTATATGATGGTGGGCCAGATAAGGCTTACATTCCCAGTAGATAGTATAACCAGGCTAATAGTTTTGTTAATACTCACAAATTTTACCACCAAAATTCAAAATTGACCTCCGCGAAATTGAAATTGTTTTTATTTGTGTATGGACAAGTGTTGCCGAAATTCAATTGGTAAATATTTTTAATATAAGCGTGATATCTTATCGCCATCTACAAAGTACCATTTTCTAGCTCATTTATCCGTGATTGATGTTCGTCTGATATAAATTCTATTGTTTCAAAGCATATTCAACTGTTCTGGTTGAATTTTCATCAAACACTTTATTATTATCATGGACTTGAATTTAAGTAGCTCCGATTCTTTGACAAAATTAAGAATTTAGTTTTGTTATATAAGAATCTTACACCGGCTGCCGGTACAGACCGGAATATCTAGCTCGAGGGTAATTGTTTGCGGCGGTAACGAGGCTCTGTCGAGTTTCCGCGAAACAGTTACCCGAGAGCTAGATATTCCCGTCTGTATCAATTGCCGGTGTTTGATTCTTTTTCTTGTATATATTACATGTCAATTATTTTCGGAACAGAAATTATGAAAACTGATATTCTTATTACGCACGTTTTTCTTATAGTAGCGTATGAACATACAACTTCATTCATAACGGAATAATGACATCACCCTAAGAACGCGATTCATTCATAAAAGGCGCGCGTCAATGACGTCATTTAAAGCATGCGACTTGTCTTACATGAGGGATGTAAGACAGAGTTTTCTAGCACCGGTGTAAACGGTAGATTATCCTGTCTGAGATGCAAGAATAATAATTTCTTGCATAGCAGACTGGCGTTTCCATGCCGGAAATATTGAAGGGAATTATGTGCTTAGGATGACGTCATTTCGCAGTTGTTATTTAAGTTGTAAGTTCATACGCTATTGTAAGAAAATAGTTATGGATGAAATGACTTTAATTTCCATGAACATATATCATATTGAGGTAAACCATTTTAAATATGAAATAATATGGCAGAATATGCAAGAAAAAATATCTGACATATGTTTGCGGTTCGGATCGAAATATCCGTCCCTCGGGAACCCGCCCATGGGCGGTAACTCGGCAAGCCTCGTAAACGCCCAATGGGACGGATATTGCGGTCCGAACCGCAACATATGACAGATATATATAATAAATTCCGGAGCAGAGCCAGATAAACTTTCTCCATCCACGGCACCTATCTATTATTCTATTTATCCTGTCACCGTTTTTTTAAAGAATTTTATTAGGCAAACTACCTTTAATCACACTATCGGAAATGTTTCTATATAAACAAAGAAGGCCCTAATTTTTCTACAACAATGCACTCGCCGTTATTATTATCTCCCTGTGTATTTTCACATTGAGGGCGCCATTTTGTTTGAAAAATGTGATAAATAAAAACAATTTTTTTGACGAATTTTGTTGTGAAAACTATCTAGAATGAAAGAAAATGGTCTAACTAAGAAAATGAATTCGAACACCAATATCTTTTATTCAGTCGTTAACGCTGTACAGACGTTTAAAGTATTGTTTACGTGACGTCACAATGTAGCGCCAAACAGCACGTGCAAAACAATCAAATCAAATACGCTATTTTAATGTCGCAAACGAGTTAAGTTTTACATTTATTTCACTTTTAATAATTTTTATTTCGCTTGAAAAAATATAGAGTGAAATAAAATAAACAAACAAAGTTTTATCAACGTTTCCAAAACTCTTTATTCTACACACAGAAGATTTAACGACAGTTTTTTATATTTTTTCTTGAAGAGTAGTCCGGCAAACATGCATACCACGTGATCAAGTGCCGTAGATCAGTAAAAATATACGGCACCTTGTTATCGGGTCGAAATTGATACAAGTGACAGGATAATATTAATTATTATTTCATATTTAAAATTGTTCACCTCAATATAATATATGTTCATGGAAATTAAAGTCATTTCATCCATGACTATTTTCTTACAATAAGGGCTGTTTTGCATATATTGACGACTTTTGTGTAATTTTCTTGGATTTTTACTTTATTTGTTCACCTCACAATATTTTACTATTAAATACATATCAAAAATGAAAATTAACATGAATCTGGAGGCGTGCTGCTTTAAGTTTGTTGCTGAGTACCTTTTCGTGTTTTAGCATGTACTCCCAATCGCATCTTCTCGGCCCTTTCCGTCAAACTTCGGTCAAAAGCTGCGTTTGTCAGCAAAGTAACCTCCCTTTATGTTCGACCTTCACGTACATCAAAATGGCGTCCCTAATTCGACATACATCTCGGTTATTTAGTCGAACGGTCTTATTTAATTCTGTTAGAGCAGGATCTGGGCATTCAAAAGATCCTAATCCAAATAATCTTTTTAAAGGCAAGTTGTTATATGTATTTCTTTCTTTGAAACCAATGTCTGAAAGTTATTCATAGTTACCGCTCTTATAAAATGTCTTAAAATCTAAAGTTATTCAATGTTTGATAAACAGTCACGTACACGTTTTTGTCTTAGTTTTAGCTTTTAATTAGACTTCATATGACAATGTTAAATTAATACATTTATAGCTTACTCAGTAACAGAGACATTAACAAGACTTGACTTTGGTGACCTTTGAAAATGAAAAGGCACTTGTTAACATGACACAGAGTGACATACACTCGGGGTTCAGACACAGCCACGGTTTGATCCGTACCTTTCAATTGTTGATGAGGTGATTTCAGGTATAGGCCTTTTCTAACAGCCTTGCTGTTCGGTTAACCCTCTAAATGGCGACATGGTTGAGTGTCCGCCTTGTTATTGTCTTGAGGTCCGGAGTTCAAAACCGTCGCCACCTGAGGATTTTTCAGATTTGAAATAATGGCGATGAGGTAAAAAAATGACAATGCTTTTAGCGTTTCATTTGCAAGCGTGTAGAAATGACTCAGACTGGCAATCAATTACAGACAGAAAGATGTGACTGTCCCCTTCGAGGAACTTTAAAGATTCCGCTTGAGCATAAGGTATTCGCTCATGGACAGAGTAGTCAAAATATATTGACGTGCCAAATCTTGATTCTGAGATATTTTCGTTCTGGGGCAGAATCTCGCTTTAACAGATATTGCCCAGACACGAAAATAGCACAATATCTCGTCGCGCAGTACAATTAGTTGGACTAATGGACAGAGATGAGGATTCAGCCTTTGTATTTAAGGTGTCTCTGTACAAGTTTGCCTTTCAAAAATAAAGTGGGGGGAAGTGTATAGGCCATATCCAACAGCCTTGCAGTTGGGTTAACCCTTTAGCGATGTGGCCGAGTCAATATTGAATTTGGAAACATCTGCAGGTGTGTTCAAAACTTCATACGATGGTTAACACGGAACCTTCAAGTCTCAAAAAAGTACAGATCGCAGACTTCGCAACACATTTATGTTGAAACAATATAATAAGACGTACCTGGTATTACGTTTGCCCTGTTTTACTTTCTGAGCCTGGGATGCTCGCTATACACTGTCCTGGCTCAATAAATGCAATGTAGAATCTTGGGGAATTTTCATATTGCATGGACAAAATGCAAAATCTACTTGTGATATAGGGGCAGAGATCTGCCGAGGACGCGATTTTGCGCCATTGGCGCTAAAAAAATGAGAATGGCGCAGGAAAATCGGCAGCAAAGGGCCAAGGGCGCATCTAAAATCTGTGTTAGACTTATATGAAAACAAAACTGTCGGCTCAAAACTGGTACCAACAGCAACACGTTACCCATTCCTCTGTTATTACGCATATTCTTGAGATTATCCATTCCCCTATAGCTTTTGTTCACTTGATCTACTTACAGCATTTCTTCTCATAATCCCTTTCCCACACAGATACTTATTTCTACTTACTGTAAATTTAATCCAATAAAACAAACAAACAAAAAAATTATACAACTGCTTAATATTTAAAATGATTATCGGTAACTGAAAAAAAAGTGTTGCTATTTATAGAAAAGCTTTAAGTTACTGTATATAAATAACACATGGGTTTGTGGGTAACAGTAAAAATATCATCCCGAGGAAAATACTGTTACCCGAGGTATAGCTGAGGGTTACAGTATATATACGAGGGATGATATTTTTACTGTTACTTCAGGGCAGTTTTTTCTTCCCCTTTTGCAAATATACCATGTAATTTTTCCCCAAAATTAAGGGCTGGGCTGCTTCCCCAACTTGTGAAAAAAAACCCTGTACTTACAAACCCATATGTTATTTATTTTATTACCCCGAACAAAAATACTGTGATGATCTGAAATTGTCAACTAAATCTAGATCTAACTGTTACAAAAATAAACCAAGAGTAACAATAACTAAACTGTCCTTACCTTTTAAGTTTTAAGTGTACTTTAGGCCTACTTGAGAAGTTTTCTTTTTCTTTTATTCTTTAAGCAAACGATGATATCTACAAATCATACAATAAGCTAGGTTTTATTTAGAATACAAAACACTAACCGATTTACACAGTTATGATCTGTGAAATCTGATCCTTCTGTTTCCAGAATATTCTTAGCATGGTTTTTGACAAAATAACGATGATATCCTATGTCTGTCCACCATATCTGTAACGTTTCACTGATTAAAATTGTTAAATAATCCTTTGCATGCTTAAATCGTCTGCATGTTCCAGTTTGACACAATTATTTACATTGCAATTACTTCCGTTGAAAACGGATGTTCACTTTTTGACTATTCAACAAAAAGATATTTTCAGGGCCTTTTCACTAGTTTTGGGGAAGGCGCCCTAGCCCTTTTTGTGGGGGAAAAATGCGCGGTTTTCATACTTTTGGGGAAAATATATTTTCCACAGGCAGTCGGTGTGTGGTTCTATAACCAGATATACTATAAATACTTATTTAAATCACACATTTGGGGGAAATATCATAATATATTTGCATATTTTCCTCCAAACACACTTAAGGAGCTTTCTGTCCAACATAAGTTAACATAGTAAAAGGGATTTTTTTCCAGATCATTTTATTGCCACTTTATATTTGCCCAAGAATACCTTGACTCATATTTCCTAATTATAGAAAATTTACGTAGGACATGTGAGGGTTCTTGATTTGATTCAGAGGGAACATTATTATCAGTCACCACTGTATCACTATTACTGGCACTGTTGTGCTAGGCTCACTATTTCCCAAGTGTAAAACATTTCCCACACTTTGCCATGTTATGCTACTCTGACACACGAACTTGCAAGGGGATACATGTATTGGATTCTCTTGCACTTACAGGAAGGTCAACAATTCTTCCAATTTTAGTAAACAATTACAAACATCACTCAATTGTATTTTCTTCTTGTTCTGTGACATTGTTTACATTTGCGACATCTTAAATTGGTCGCTGTATGGTTGTAAAAAATCACGTGCAATAAAAAATAAGGCAGCGGGGTTTTCCCATGTTCCTTTTAGAAAGTTGCAAACTCAGACCGAGGCTGTGAGTTAACCTCAATTGTATTGAATCAAGGTATCCCTCTAGTGGGTAATTGAATAATTAGCTTTCATTGGACAAAAACAACGATCTATATTTAAACAAAAAAGATTGTTTACAAGTTTTTTCTTTAATTTAATATTTCTTTGAAAGGGGAAATCTTCGCAAGAAGGGGAATTTTAGACTGTTTTTTTGCGGAAAAAAGGTAGTAAGTCGGCTTGGGGATACCGGCTACAGCAAAGAAGGGTAAAAAGGCCCTGATTTTATACGCGAAAAGCACAAAAGGGTGCGAACAACTAAATTTTATGGGTGTCATAGATACTCCAGAGAAGAAATTGATGTCCTATCGGGTTTAACGTCGAAAATAAGAATGAATTGAGAAAAAAATGGCGGCCATTTTATTTCATTTTATTCAGAAAATAGACCAGATTTTATACTGTTAAAGTATGTAACAGTACAAAATTCTTAGTCATGTGGTACACTTGCATTAACAGTAAGAATAACTCCGAGAGGCCTATGGGAAATTAACATTACGAAAAAAGTGAGTAATAATATAATCTGACAGGTGTACAACTTGATTTCCCCTAAGGTCACTCAAGTTCACACAAGCTTTGGCTGATGAAGTGTAAAAAAATATGTCTATTTCGTCATCAGAATATTTGACAGGGCGATTAACCAATCGGGGAAACATTGTGCATGACTTTTTTCATGATCAAAAAGTCTGTTGGCAAGTGTCTTTGAAGTATGCTTTCTACACAGAGGCATACAAGGAGTAATAAAATCCATCAATATACATTGTGCCAGGGACATTTGGTGCAAAATAAGGAACAATTAAATGGATAATGCACAGTATTAGACATTAGAAATTATGTGGATAAATTATGCAAATCAGATTTTTGAGCAGCCATTTGAAAAAATGTTTTGCCTGCAATTAATATTAGTTAGAAAGTTACTGTCTAGGCATTTTTTTTAATTATTGGTTATCTTCTCTGTTAAATACTGAATGATAAGTGAACCACTTGTCATCAAATATGATTTAAGTTCCATTACAAAGGAAATTCAATTATCTACAAACTTTTTAACAGTAATTTAGGTCAATGTTTACTTATTTTCCCAAGGCCCATACTTTGGTCAAAATGGTCCATCATTTTCAGACAAAGTGGGCCCAGGGCCCAGTACTTTCAAATTCTCGGGAGATCTCTGTAGGGGTTATCTTTTTTGGCATCTCCCTATCCAAGTTTCACAAGTGTAGATTAGCCAGTCTTGAATCTGACTAAGAACCAATGTTAACAGTACTATGTTATTATCAAATGATGTTTTATTGATACCAAAAGTAAATTTTGCATTTTATCAAATCAATATGTGCACTTCAATTGTCACTTGAACATTTTGGAGCATTTTGCTAGTGAGTACACAGATAGAGTGAGTTTTGGCATAAAGGTTAAACAGCTCAAACATTATGTGTTTTGCTTGGCTGTTTATATTTTGGAGTTTGCAGTCTTAAGTTTATTGAGACTTATTGTTAAATGTGATTTTTATATTCACATTCCATAAACTGCCTGTTTTCTCCAAAGTCAAAAAGTTAAGAATGCAAAATTTATTTAAAGATATAGAATCAGACTCTGTGATCAGTACCATGATTAATATTGATGTTTTTTTATTCAACTACATGTACATTTTAAACACCATGATTATTGAATCAATCTTTTTTCACAGATATAGACAATGAAGTAAGAACAAACGTAGAGGCATTTTATGCTGAATTGAAAGGAGATAAAACTGCAGGTATTTATGAAACTAACTTTTATTGCTTCAGTTTCTTTCAATTATTTTGCAAACTGACAAAATTTTGCGTAATTCATGGTTTATACTGTTTTCTGTTCATTTCGAAAAAACACTTCTATACAAAGCTTATGATTTCAAAGTCATTATATTTTCCCTTGAAAAAATTAGTGTTTATTCATGAATTACTGATTTGTTCCATTCACAATAATATAATACAAACCTCACATTCTATTCCCGGCAGGGACTTTGGATTCTTTCATGTGAGGAAGCTAGCCTACGGAAAGTCTGTGGTTCTACTTGGGGGCTTGTTTGTGCCTGAAATAATACACGGAAGGGCACCTTAGGGTTTCCTCCACCAGTTAAGCTGGAACGTCGCCATATCGCCTATACTGTGTCGGTGTGACGTAAAACCCAAGCAAACAAACAAACCTCATAAATATTTATTTCTTAACTTATTAAAAATCAGTTCACCCTGTCATGATATTTTGTTGTTTACTTTTTAGACCCTTCTGAAGGTGACGTAAAAGCACAATTAGAAGAATTGGGCAGTTTGACCGGAGACCAGAGACATGAGACTCTTGAAAATATGAAGGGAATTTTTGTAAGTTTATGATTGAAATCTGACAAATCCTTCCAAGGTCGTATTTTAGTTGCCTGTTCAGAAATCTTTATTTGTCATCAGGTGTACATTATATGTGTACATTATATATAATATATACACATACTGCTGATATCAAAGTTCTTTTGATGTATTGTATTGAACATTTCATTATCTGTAAAAATTTATTACAATAAATAAAGATGTTTTTTTTTGTCAGCCAAAACTGCCATTTGATTGCACCTTATTGTACTTTTCAATTATGGCATTTTCACCCTATCACCATATAGCAATATAAGACCCTATTCCCAATCCAAAATAGTCTCTTTTTCCTAATTTTAAAACAAAAGTTTGCAACAGCAGCCAAGAAAATCAAACAAATTCAACTTCTGAGAAAATTGAACTGTTTTGACTGTTTCCTTAAGAGAAGTAGCAGGTTATATAAATATGATCATACAAATGTTAAAAACCTGTATAAAGTAGTCCTTCAACTTTTTTAAAATTCCTCAAATTTCCCAGATTTGCTGAATAATTTTTAACTGACCTGTCGCAAATTGACATGGTGAGCTTTTGTGATTGCTTTTCATCCGTCGTCCGTCTGTCTGTAAACTTACTTTAAACGACATCTCATAAACCGCTAAGCCAATTTCATCTGAACTTTGAAAATTGTTCAAAGAATTGAATTCAATACAGGACTGTGGTTGCCATGGCAATGCAAAGAGAGAAAAAATCTTATAAAAAACCCATAGAGCTAGAGCTTAGATATTTATGTGAGTCTCTACCAAGTTTGTTATAATTAAAGCCTTTGGGTCAAAATTGGCCTTGCCCCAGGGGGTCATTAATTGTCCTTATATGTATATAGGAAAAACAAAAACATCTTTTAAAAAAGCTAAAGAGCTAGAGCTTAGATTATTTGACATGAAGCATCTTCATGTGGGTGTCTACCAAGTTTGTTTAAATAAAAGCCTTTGGGTTAAAATTGGCCCTTGCCCCAGGGGTCATTGATTTTCCTCATATCTATAAAGTAAAAAAAAAAAATAAATAAATAAAATAAAAAACCCAGTGGTAAGGAAATAAGGGTTATTCAATGTGTTTTTCTTTGAATTAGTTTGACCATCTTAAAACAATATCAAATTTATTAATTTACTTCTCATGAAAAAGTGAAAATACATATATTTAGACAATGTTCTTAAAAAATGATTTATTGTCAAAAACAAGACTTAGTAGATGTTATAAAAAAAAATGTTGTTTAACTGTTAACATTACATTTCTTTGCTATATCAACCTTACTCGGACAGGCTTTCCGATCATTGATGGATGTAGTGTTTAGCAGTGGGTGTGTTTGTTTTACATAGAAGTTGAACTTATAGCATCTGAAATATTTTCATTGCAAGAGGAATATTAGTAAGGAAGTTGTAGATTTTGAAAATAATATAATGATACATATTTGATAAATTTTAAGTAATTCTGACAGATAAAGCTTTTCATATCTTGTAATGCATTGCCTTATTTGTTTTGTAGGATCCTTTTGATGTAGGTGTACATAAGCAGACCAATGACAGTCAGGGAACTAGAGAAAACCCTATTCTTGTTCCAACAGTTGAGGGATACAGGCTTGTAGGATGTGTTTGTAAGTTATGATTTCCTAAAACCCTTTACAAATGATTTCTTGGAACAATGCAGAGCTTCCATTAAGTTAAAAAACATGGAAGTTAGAAACTGCTAAATCAAGCTTTAGTTCAAACATATTTATTTAGCTCAATTGTGAAACAAGTTCTTGCAAATTTTGGAGTCTGGAACAAACCAATACTGGTGTTATATGAGTAAACATGAACCTGATCCAAGTAGGGCTTGAACACATGATCCTTGGGTTAGGAGGCAAACACCTTAACCACTAGTCCACCACTCCCCTCCAGGCTGCTTCACCTTAAGAAGGAAAAGCTAGAGCTGTCATCGATAGAAACAATATCAATGTATCATTGATATTTTTCTGTCGATCAATAATCGATACACATTTAAAAAAATTGATAATTTTGACTTATTAACTATTAAATGTCTAGAAATTAGGAAAATTCAACAAAAGCATATACAAAAGCAGGTGTCCATGTCTAACATCTGTTGTCAGTGATTTTTTTCGTGTTTATTTTACAGCCGAATAAAGGTTGTTTCCCTACGGCCTAGCCAAAAATATGTATATTTTCCCCTAAAATGTTAATATTTTTCCTAAAATGCCCCTGTGCACATTCTTCACCAGAACCTTACTTAATATCAGCTAGAAGATAAAGCTGTCCCTATAGATAGTCTCTGCTATGTACCATGCATGTTAAAGTGAAATCAAATTGAAAAATTTATAAAATGTTGGGTAAATTCCATTCTCAGTTATTGGTATTTTCCCCCTTTTCTGATTTATCGGGCCTATATTTTCCCCTTTAGAAAGCCAAGAGGTTTTGTTTTGAAAATTGCAAAAAAAAATCACTGGTTATATAGTGGAAATATTTCACAGCAATGATTGAAATAACAAAAAAGTGATCTGGATAAAAATCATGCAATGGCAAATAACACACTGAACAAGAACATGTTTGAAAAACTGAAATCATTTAAACAGGTATAAAAGTGAATGACAGACAAGTGATTTTATGTAATTATCGATATATCTGTGTATTGTTGATATTTGTCATCCAATATCAATATATCGTTGATATGTCTTGCCTTGAATCAATGACAGCTCTAGGAAAAGTGTTAATAATTGACAACATTTCTAAAGTCATTAAAAACTTTACATTATTGAACTTTGTCATGTTCTTGACACAGATACAAAAAAAAAAGTTTACCACCTTGTTTGAAAAATATTGGCCATCAATGTAAACCCCCGTTATGCCTTATAAAAGCTATCATATATGTTAAAAAAATCTTATTTTTGGTAGATTTCTTACAGTTAAAAAAAAGCACTCATTTGCCATATAGATAAACTATCTAAACTATAAAGTATATTGTTGTGAAGTTACCAATAGAATAAAACTTACACATAATCAATGGCACTTACAACCCATGTACATGTAAATTATCTTAAAGAGGTCAAAATGTGCAAAAATAGCTCTTACTGCATTAGTAATGCAGTAAAAATATAGTAATAAATACTGAAAAATCAATAATTAATCCCACATAACATGTAAATTTTTACTAGAATCTTGAATCTTTATACTTTTTCTAAAATTTTAGTACATTTTTCTCAGATTTGATTTTATCAAAATATGTTTGCTCATCTTGAGGCATGCAGCTTTAAGGAGTAAATGTCTTCTTGATCAATGTTTTAGCTTGATTATTTAAAGGGAAGTGAACTATCGTCCTTGTCCTTGATGCAACAAATTTGCTAAGATTTGCATCAGCTGTTGCATATCTCATAAATAATTACTGAGGGTATCCACTTTTAACTTTTTATGTCTTTGTTTAAGGTGTATTAACCAATTAGGATCTTATTGAATTGAAATCCCTTGTGAATTTTGGAGAAAATATCTTGTTAAGGTTTACTTATTTCAAAGAGATTATTAAAAAACCCTTTATTTCATGAATCTCTATCCAAATTGGCATTTTGCGCAATCCAAGTATAAATTGAAACTAAAAATAACTTACTTTTATATTTTGGAAAAAGATCCATCAGGAAAACACCTTAATACAGTTATCAGGACATTTCACCAGGAGCAGATATAAATAAAAAAAATCTTATCTCAATTTCAATTTTTTTCTTTAATGCAACACAATTTTTCCTTATTAAATCCAGGGTCTTTTATCTTAATAGTAGAACAAGGTGGTTTATTGAAATAACTCCAGTTATAAAGATGAAATTTCAAATTATAAATGTATATTGATTTATTAGTCCCCTACCGGTTTACCGGAGGGGACTTTAGGTTTACCCTCCGTCCGTCTGTCCGTCCGTCTGTCCGTCCGTCTGTCTGTCAGTCCGTCAGTCCGTCCGTCCACAAAACTGGATCCCGCGATAACTTGAAAAGTACTGAAAATATTTTTATGAAACTTGATATATGGATAGATGGCAGTATGGAGATTATGCACGTCTGTTTCTTTTCTTCCTATGTTGAAAATTCTGGTTGCTATGGCAACAAATAGGCTGAAAATATGGCAAATTTTACACATAAACTGGATCCAGTGATAACGCAAAAAGTACTGGAAATATTTTTATGAAACTTGATAGACGGATAGATGGCAGTATGGAGATTATGCACGTCTTTTTCATTTCTTCCTATGTTGAAAATTCTGGTTGCTATGGCAACAAATAGACTGAAAATATGGCAATTTTTACACATAAACTGGATCCAGTGTTAACGCAAAAAGTAATAGAAATATTTTTATGAAACTTGTAATATATGTAGATGGCAGTCTGGAGATTATACACGTCTTTTTCTTTTCTTCCTATGTTGAAAATTCTGGTTGCTTTGGCAACACATAGACTGAAAATATGGCAAATTTTACACATAAACTGAATCCAGTGATAACTCAAAAAGTACTGGAAATATTTTTATGAAACTTGACATATAGGTAGATGGCAGTCTTGAGATTATGCATGTCTTATCTGTTCTTCCTATTTTGAAAAAATATTGGTTGCCTTGGCAACAAATAGGCTTAAAACATGGCAAATATAACAATATTTATGATTATTCAAAAAGAGCTGAAACTTTTTATGAAATTGCATCTTTAATTCCAGAGTTATCTCCTCTTTAAGAATTTTGCTTTTTAAAATGTTATATTTTTGTAACAGGGATGTTTCAAATATTAACTTTAGAGTGTCCTTCAGTCCGTCTGTCTGTCTGTTCATAAAAACTTTTTCCTGTGATCACTTTTAAAGAACATTTCAAACAAATTGACTTAAAATAGAGAAAAATTTACACATTAGTGAAGGCCAATGGCCCTTCAGAATGCTGATGGGGTTCTATCCGGTAGGGGACTTATGGATTGCTTGCAACACTATGATAATTGCTTGTTTATTTTCTTGTTACCAGGTGAGGAGGATTTGACAGAGGTGTGCTGGATGACCATTCATCATGGAACTAAGAGGCAGTGTAATTGTGGAAATTGGTTCCAGTGTGTGCAAATTCCTGGAGCTGTAGCCCATTAATATAATAAAACTTCTCTATTCTTTAGTAAACAATTATAAATGACATTGTATGTATGATGATATCAATTTTGAATATTCAAATCATCAGGTTTTGTTTTGCAAAAAAAAAAAAGGAACAGAAAATATATGTCAAAATTTATGAATTTGTTGTTTTGAAATACTAAGAAAATTTGGTAAGTTGTATCAGATGTCAATTACCCCTGGTTTTCTTTGGTCTTGAAAGTTGGCAAAGTTTAGAGTTATTGTATTTATTTTTAATCATCAGCTATATTGTGAGCCATTTTTTTCTCTTTTTTGACTGAGAAATTTAGAAAAAAGCATAATTATTCTGTTTGATTAGGGATGTGCTGTTTGAAAAAAGGAATTAAAATATGATTTAAATATAGAAATTGTGTTTGTATTTGATATTTACAAAAATGTATAACTATATTAATATGGTAGTAATACAATGTTTTTATGTGTTTTAAATGTCAAAACATCTTACTTTGCCATCTATACAACTAACTTGATTCTTAGGACACATAGACATAGTTTGTCAACTACAGATGTATAAAATTTAGACGTTTAACAAGTTACAGAATAATTTAACTATTAGTACATGTTTTAATTTTTGCCAGTCATTATTTGTCGTTTCGAAGAAAAGTTTAAATATTATGATCGCTGCTGAGTCATCGTTGTTCTGCAAAATCAATTACTGTAGCCAATTAGATGTTAAGGTGCTTGATAATCATGACAAGGCTCAGTTGTGACACAAGGGCTTAATTCTGAAAGAAATATATTTATAAAATATAGAAGTTATTCCCCTTAAGAACATCGAATTTTTAACTGTCAAGCGTGGACACCACAACAGTGTGCCCTCGTTGATAATATTTACCCTTGTTACACCCTTCAAGGCAAGTAAATAGTAATTGCATTATCTGTACCTCTAAAATTTCGTACAACTATTTTTGAACAACCACTAGAATTTCATAGGAAACTTTACTGCCTTCAGACGAGTATGTAAAGATCAAGAAAAGAGCAAGTTACGTTACAGTAATTTTTTTTACAGAATAATGCACATTTTAAGCAGTTAATGTTGATTATTATGCGTCGGCACTCTTATTGATGTTCCATTTAGGGTCACTGTACGGCGATCCTGTCTGTAAATTTATTTGCACCATCTATATTAATTACGATAATTCTACTACATGTATGCACATAATTTACCTTTATAAGTCAGATTACCCCTCGTTTGCTATTGCTTTTGTTGATATGTTTAGATCATATCCAACACGGACTGAATATTAACGAAGTAAATCACGATCTTTAAAACACTTGATATTTGTCGTCATCAATGTCTTGTAAGATGCTACCCAATACTTTTGTCATCTGGTTTCCAACCTCATATTTCAATCCTGATTGAGTGTCATTGTTGTACGTTTCGACAGTATTCGTTATTATGCATATGGTCGGTGTCTTCACACATAATTTCAGTGATATCGCTTATAATACATCAACCTTTGTCATCACTATGTTATTATTTATGAACTTGTTTCATTCTTTGGCGGAAGATCATTTATCGGTGGTTAATTTGAATGTGACCTTGACCCTTGAATAGCATTGACCCGTCAAAGTGTTCAAATTGAATTCTGAATTTTATTTTTCACCAAAAAAAAGGATGTTTTCAAGAAAAACTCTTTACTATGATATTCTTCATCTCCTCACCAGTTTGACTTGAGAAATAAGAAAAAGATGAGCGTGTTTTAGACGGTGGATCTTGTTTTTCTTTCAAGTTGTCATGCATGGCAATATGCCATATCTTCGTATTGTTTCCTTCCAATATCGGGGATTGCTTCCAATATTTGATATTGGTCATGTTTACAATGAAACATTTTATGCCAGTTTCAGCTCTTATTCGAACGATTTTTTAACAGTTATTTTTTGTCTTTCTAAATATAAAAAGTAACCAAATATCGTTTTTTTACAACAAACTGATGCTACGGAATATACTCGCTGGGCTTAAAATAAAGAGCTGGTAAGCAGGTTTGTAAGACAAAGGCTCTCTTGCACAATCGGTTCTCTGGATATGTTGTCGGTGAAATTGGTTATTACTATAATGTGCCGACCGGCTAGATATGACCAAAATATGTTTAAATCGGGGGAAAATACCAAAACCAATCAACGAGTAGTCAAATAGTATCTATGCTATCGTTATAGATCAAATATGATGTTTGAAAAAATATCTAGTTCTTTTTAATCGGAAACATGAAAATACTGTCGACGCGATCTAACAAGGAACGGATGGATTATGTATGCTAAAAGGACAGGACAATACATATTATAGCTAACTAAACACAATACTTATTGTCAATGCTAGAACAGAAAAGCATACACGCTCTTTCTGTTTCTAAGTTTTCGTATCCCCCTGTTTATAACTGTATCGGAAGCACCCACAATGCTGACATATTTTGGGACGGTAGAATAACTTTTTAAAGTAGTTTTGTCTTGTAGTGGCGAGTTTGGTTTTGCTTCTTGTTACTATTGACCTAGTTAACCAATCAGATTTATACCCGTCCAAGCATGCGTCTGTAAACTTTTTATCGATTAATAACATACCTTGTACATTGACGAAACAAAAAACTGT